CTGTAACATCTCAGCTGGGATACTGTAAATTTCATCTTGAATTCTAAATGGCGAAATGTTTAGTTGCTAAAGATCACTGTCTCGTAGTTTTGACACTTGCTCATGTCTGGCAATACGCACTTCAAAAATTCCGTAGATAGATAGATAGATATAGATATAGTCATTTTGTTTCAACACTTCTGGTGTCTTAATAATGCAAGTAATGGTGTTGAATGTAGAATAAAGGGTTTTAAAAGGTTGAAATCGACGAAACACCCCTCGATAGGGGAAACACTGTTACATAAGCTGCAATGACCAATCAAAATACAAATATATGAGAATTCAATAATCTTGACAATGGACCTTGGTTATAATAATTAATGCCTTAATCTTAGGGAGCGTAGAAGCCTGATTGACCCTGGTCTTGAAGGATCGAAGCTGATAGTTGTCAAGAAAGTATTATCACGGTAGTTTGTTCCACAAGTAACAGTTGTGAGGCAGACGCTGCCTGGATGGAACTTGCTCCGTTTGGAAGAGAAACAAAAGGAATGGAGAGACCACGGCAATATCACTTTGAAACATTGGTTCTCGTACGATCACCGAAGTTTAGTAACATCCAGCCTGGTCGGTACCGAGATGGGTGACCTCTTCGGAATACCAGGGCCTGTAAGCTTGGATGTGCCGGTGGTGTACTTGTTAACGGCTGGAAAATTAGAGAGCCGAGATCCAATTCAGTTGGCTTTGTTATATTCACTTGCGTGCTAATACCCTTGCGAAAGAATTCGCCTCTTCTCCCCTCCCCTCTTATAATTTCATCAACAGGAATTGCATCAGTCTATCCTAAAAAAATCTGGCTTTTAATAAATGGTAAAAGGTTGATAAGCCAAAAAGACAAATCCTAAAAAAAAAAAATACCGGAAAGAAGGCCTGATATATATATATATATATATATATATATATATATATATATATATATATAATTGGGTGGTTCAGTGAAACTCTTTAAATCCGGAAAATCGAATAAACCCCAAGACATCCACAGAATTACATCCAGCAATTCCGAGGAAGCTAAAATAATTATAACAAATCTATAAAGCTTTTCATTTTTCTTCCTTATTTAATAATTCTGTCGTATCTAATATATAGTTTAAATTTCTTATATATATATATATATATATATATATATATATATATATATATATATATATATATATATTTATGTATTTGTTTGTTTGTGTTTGTATATATATATATATATATATATATATATATATATATATATATGTAAGTGTTGTTGGTCACTTTATTATAAAAATGTATTGTTGGTTATTTTGCTATGAAATATATTGTTATTCATTTTAATATAAACGTGTTGTTGATATAAAATATATTGTTGGTCATTTTAGTCAATTATCAAAAAAAATGTTAGTTCAAATAAATTGTATTCATGGCGAATTCGCCACAAAAAACTATTCCTGGCATTTTTATTATAAAAATCTCTTTTTAAACTTTCCTAGTGTTTTAATTTTTATTTGTGGGGGGGGGTCAGTATTTGCCCATAGCTGGGACCCTAAGACCTGGGAAAAGATTGTTTCACGCTCCTCAAATGCTCCAATGTCCCGGTCAATGGCCTTACTGCATGATGAAGTTTATCGTCATATCCAGTACTATATAGAAATGTGCAAATATTACAAGGATAAAACTGAAAAGGTCTGGAAAATAAGCCATGTTTTAAAGAACGAAAAAATGAAAGAAATGGTGAAGAACAAGAAAGAAAATAGAAAAAAAAGGAGAAATGTAAGTTAAACAAAGAAGGAATGAAAGAATGAAAAATAGAAAGAAATATTTAGAATCGACGAAAGAAATATTGAAGAAACGGTCGAATGAAAAGGGAAAAGACAAATAAGGAAGAAAACGACAGAAGAAATAAAAAGGAATGAGTAATGAATAATCTAAAAAAATGAAACATGGCGTCAAAAGAGAACAAAATAATGATTCATAAAGAAAAATAAATACAGAAGAACATAAAAGTGTAAAGAAAAAATGGCGGTGTTAATGACACAGAGGCGACAGAAAAATGCCGGCTATGATCTTTATACTAGCTTTCAAAAGGGAACAAGTTAATTGGGCAGTCATTTTATGATTCGTTTCCTACCAGTCTCTTTATTATAAACAAACCATCAATTGCGACCTGGCCATTATAACCCGCTACCCATATTTCACTAGATAAACTTGATACTTGTAAATTTTAAATATTTTCTTTAAAAAAAAAAAAAATGGTGATATTAGTTACTAATATTAATTGCATTGCTACGCGCTTTTATTTTCTATTATGAATTAAATGAAAGCATTTTTAAAAAGATGTCTGCAAAAATAAAAATTACATTCCCAAAAGTTTATTTTTCAACATAAGGGTAAATAATTACATGTCCTTCACAGTGGCGAAAGGAAGACGTGTCGATGAGGAGGCACGGTGGTGTAATGGATAGCAGCTCGGAGAGACGAGTTCGAATTCCAGTCG